TTCAATTCATCTCTTTGTTATCATAAGTATCTTATAGTAATTTTTATTGTCATTTTGATAATTTACATAATTAACTTTTATTACATTATCATATTTAGACAAATAGTTAAATTAAAGAGACAAATCTTCAATATATTTAACATATAAGGAATTTTTCATAATAAACGTTACTTCTGTTATATAAACAGTTAAAGCTAGTTTTTCAATTCATCTTTTTGTTGATATCAGCTGTATCCTATAGTAATTTGTATTATCATTTTTATAAGTAACAGTTTTTTTATTACATTGTCATATTTTGACGTTTCTGTCATTTATTAACCTAAATAGTTGTAAAAACATATTTTCTTTTACTTTTATGAGAAGATCCACTTTTATGCAGAATATTTAGCTGAAACGAATCGACAAATCTTCAATATATTTAACATATCAAGATTTTTTCATAAAAAACGTTAGTTTTGTTATTTAAACAGATAAAGATTGTTTTTCAATTCATCTCTTTGTTACCATAAGTTTCCTATAGTAATTTTTATTGTCATTTTGATAAATGACATAATTGACTTTTATGACATTATCATATTTAGACAAATAGTTAAATTAAAGAGACAAATCTTCAATATATTTAACATATAAGGAATTTTCTATAAGAAACGTTACTTCTGTTATATAAACAGTTAAAGCTAGTTTTTCAATTCATCTTTTTGTTGATACCAGCTGTATCATATAATAATTTGTATTAACATTTTCATAAGTGACAGTTCTTTTATGACATTGTCATATTTTGACGTTTCTGTCATTTATTAACCTAAATAGTTGTAAATCACATATTTTTTTTTACTTTTATGAGAAGATCCACTTTTATGAAGAAGCTTTAGCTGAAACGATTCGACAAATCTTCAATATATTTAACATATCAAGAATTTTTCATAAGAAACTTTAGTTCTGTTATTTAAACAGATAAAGATGGTTTTTCAATTTATCTCTTTGTTACCATAAGTATCCTATAGTAATTTTTATTGTCATTTTGATAATTGACATAATTGACTTTTATGACATTATCATATTTAGACGTATAGTTAAATTAAATAGACAAATCGTCAATATATTGAACATATAAGGAATTTTCCATAAGAAACATTACTTCTGTTATATAAACAGTTAAAGCTGGTTTTTCAATTCATCTTTTTGTTGATACAAGCTGTATCCTATAGTAATTTGTATTAACATTTTCATAAGTGACAGTTCTTTTATGACATTGTCATATTTTGACGTTTCTGTCATTTATTAACCTAAATAGTTGTAAAAAACATATTTTCTTTTACTTTTATGAGAAGATCCACTTCTATGCAGAAGATTTAGCTGAAACGATTCAACAAATCTTCAATATATTTAACATATCAAGAATTTTTCATAAGAAACGTTAGTTCTGTTATTTAAACAGATAAAGATGGTTTTTCAATTCATCTCTTTGTTACCATAAGTATCCTATAGTAGTTTTTATTGTTATTTTGACAATTGACATAATTAACTTTTATGACATTATCATATTTAGACATATAGTTAAATTAAAGAGACAAATCGTCAAAATATTTAACATATCAAGAATTTTCTATAAGAAACGTTACTTCTGTTATATAAACAGTTAAAACTGGTTTTTCAATTCATCTTTTTATTGATACCAGCTGTAGTAATCATTTTCATAAGTGACAGTTCTTTTATGACATTGTCATATTTTGACGTTTCTGTCATTTATTAACCTAAATAGTTGTAAAAAAACATATTTTCTTTTACTTTAATGAGAAGATCCACTTTTATGCAGAAGATTTAGCTAAAACGATTCGACAAATCTTCAATATATTTAACATATCAAGAATTTTTCATAAAAAACGTTAGTTCTGTTATTTAAACAGATAAAGATGGTTTTTCAATTCATCTCTTTCTTACCATAAGTATCCTATAGTAAATTTTATTGTCATTTTGATAATTGACATAATTAACTTTTATGACATTATCATATTTAGACTTATAGTTAAATTAAAGAGACAAATCGTCAATATATTTAACATATAAGGAATTTTCCATAAGAAACGTTACTTCTGTTATATAAACAGTTAAAGCTGGTTTTTCAATTCATCTTTTTGTTGATACCAGATGTATCCTATAGTAATTTGTATTAACATTTTCATAAGTGACAGTTTTTTTATGACATTGACATATTTTGACGTTTATTAACCTAAATAGTTGTAAACAACATATTTTCTTTTACTTTTATAAGAAGATCCATTTTTATGCAGAAGATTTAGCTGAAACGATTCATGTATTTTCGTTTAGTTTTCTGAATGTCACACGAATGGGAACAAGAGAAACAATTGAGAGAAAGGGATTTGAAAAAGAGAGAGAGAGAAAATGAAAAAGGGAAAAAAAATAAGAGTAAAAGAAGGATGATGATGAAAATACGGGAGTG